TCACAGAGATCCGCCTGGCTCTGCCTCCTGAGTGCTGGGATTAAAGGCGTGCGCCACCACCGCCCGGCAAAACTCATATTTTTAAGTGAGGAATCTAAGGCTTGAAGCAAGGCGCAGGATGTGTTGAGTGCATGGATATATATATCAAATCCCCACTTGGGAAGAAAACGGGGGGGGGGGAGTGAATTTGTTCATAATAACAACTGTCATTAACCATCTACCACCTACTGTATGTCAGACACCATATTCTATTTCATATACATGATCTGATTTATTCATCACAAGAGCCCTATGATAATCACTATCATTGCCCTCAGTTTGAGATGTATAAACTGCATATAAGAAGACACTAAATAACTTGCTACAGGTTAGAAAGCTGAACAAAGAGGCCGGAGAGATGGTTCAGCAGGTGAGGGCATTTGATGCCAAGCCTGGTGGCCTGCCTGAGTGTGAGGTCTGGGACCCGCATGGTAGGAGAGGAATGACTCCAGCAAGCATTTCAACACCAATGATAAAATAAAAAAAATAAATGTCAAACAAGCTGGGGTGGGGGGAGACACTAAAATCAGCGCCACAATTCAAACTTAGAGTTGTCTGATTCCTGAGAGTGTATCCATTTCACCAGCTGCTCTGTTGCGCTCATCAACCCACCTCTCAGCCCAGTGAGGCAGTGACTGTGGTCAGCACACCCCAGGACTCCCTCAGGGAAACTGACGGTGGCATTGTCTGCACAGGCAGAGGGGAAGCTGCTGCCTTCTCATCACTGGCTCGGATGCTGTTAAACTGAAGCTAGAAGCCCAAATCAAAGAGAGGGCTGCACAGTGGTCAGCCATAGCAGTTCTAGCTGGGTGACCTTGGGCTGTTACACACATCTTTGAGCTCTAATCCTGTCAAATGGGGGTGATGTTTCTAGCATATCTGATGTTGGAGGATGAATAAGAGAACACAAGCCAAGCATTGAGCACATGGATGTGTATCTCTACTCAAATTTCCTCTGCCCCTGCCTCAGAGGTTCCAATTCCAATCTTGATATTGCTGTCTTGGTCTCAAGTGCTGAGATTATAGGTATGAACCACCATGTCTGGCTTTACATAACCTTTTTGTTTGTTTGTTTGTTTGTTTAGTTGGTTGTTTTTATAGTGCAGGGCCTTGTACGTGCTAGGCATGTGTTCGTCCAATGAGCTACATCCCCAACCATGAGTCTAGGCCTTCTTTGTTTTGTTTTGTTTTTCAAGACAGGGTTTTTCTGTGTAGCCCTGGCTGTCTTGGAACTCTCTCTGTAGACCAGGCTGGCCTTGAACTCAGATCCACCTGCCTCTGCCTCCCAAGTGTTGGGACTAAAGGTGTGTGCCACCGCTTCTGGCTGGGCCTTTTCATCTTCAGTATAGTCCCTGGTGATTCTGATGCACTGTCAGGTCTAAGGGAACCCACCTGCAAGATATATGTACCAGGCGCAGAGGGGAAGGGATCATGAGTGGTCCCTCTCCAAGAGCACCCCTCACGCCACCCCACTCCAGTTTCTTGTGGCTCCTTTTCTCCCAGCGCCTCCACACTGGCATGCAAGGGTACTCAAATCAAGAACTCAGTGCTTTAGCAGTGAGTCAGCAGCACTCAGAGTCCCAAGGAGCCTGCCTTTCTAGCTGCCTGGGAACCCAGCCTGGGCTGGGAAACAGGATGCCATGGGTTCTGCTCTAGATTAGTTCCCTATTGACTCATTAGTAGCAAAAGGCTGGTCAGTCCCCAAGCCTCAGTTTGCTCCTGCTCAACAAAGAGTTCAAGAAAGCAGACTTGCCCATCGGACTCTGGCCCTTGACCACCAAAGCAGGGAGAGGGACCTGCAGGAGGCAAAAAGAACATGGAACATTCTTGCATAACTCTGCTTTTCCATTCCCATCTCATTGGATTCTCACAATGATGGGGAGTAAAACTCACCGTCTACCCTGACATCTTCGTGTCCTCCGTTCTCTGCCCTAGCCTTTGTCCCACTGGGATTTCACATCACTACCTTTCTGGTTTGTGTGCTCCTCTCTGAATGCTTCAAGCTTGTTTCTACATCCTGTTCTTGGCACTATTGATGAGACTTGGAATGTTCGGTCAACAATAATCACGTCTGTTTTCTTCTTCTCACCCAAGGCCTCAGTTTACCCATCACCTTTTCAGATAAGGCTTTGTTAATCCATCATCAAACCTAAGGTGTGAGTGCAGGCACCAGAACACATCCTCTTCTAGCACATCATTTGAACTCCCATCTTAGCATCTCCCTGGCATCTGAAAAGTGTTTTGTGAATGCTTATGGAATAAGCCAGCTAATGAGGCTACCCCAGGACGAGTTATGATTGAGATGTTTTGGTTTTGAGACTAATCCTCATGTAGTCCAGATTGGACTAAAATTCAATGTATAGAGGAGGATGACCTTGAACTCCTGATCCTCTTCCCTCCATCTTACAGGAGCCCAGATCACAGGGCTTTGCTTTTGGTGGTGGTGGTGGAGGAGGTTTTTCTTTTTTGCCACTTTTGAGGAGCTGAAGATCAAACCCAGGGCTTTGCACATGCTAGACAAACTCTCTGCCACTGAGTTGCATTCCCATCCTGTAATTTTGTTTTATTTTGCTCAGTGTTTTGGTCCCAGGCTATCTGTAGTTCTGGGAAGGGAAGTGACTATCCCAAGTCCAGTTCAGGTTTTTTGTCTTCTTTTCTCCAGGCCCTTCCTCGTAAAACCTGACACACAGACCTGGATAGGGTGAGGCTCCTGAGTGTGATGAAAGCCTGGAGTTGCCCCAGTGAAGCTGAGCTGACGTGGGGGTGAGGCGGAAGGACCTAGCGGAGGAAGGAAGAAGCAGGCTAGGACAGGAGAGCAGGGTGTGAATGTCGGGAGGGGGAAAGGGGAGTGATTTGGTCATGTGTCAGGAAGTCTCTCCCTCCACCCTTCCCTGGGGAGAACCCTGACCCCTAGATGGCTTGGTTTTAAGGTGATCAAACACCTGCTGGTGCAGATGAAGGTGTGGCTGGGGTGGTGGCCATCTGCTGAGGTCCTAGGCCCGATACTGCGTACCCAGACGAACACCAAGGTGGCTTTGGGCCAAATAGGTGACAAGTTAGCTTCCGTCTGAAACCCATTTGTCTGCACATGGATCCTGACACCTGGCCAGACTGGGTGTCCAGGGAAGGGAGGCAAAAGGGTCCCGAGGAAAAGGAGTAATCAAGGTTGAATGTCCGGTGATGACAACAACAGCAATAATAGGTCACATTTATCAGGAGCTTGTACCCATCAGTATACTTTCTGCTTTATATTTATCCCCTCACTCGATCCTCGGAAAGCTCTCTACAAAGTAGACATTGTTAATATTACTACTGTTATTCCCACTCAGGATATGTAGAAACTGAGGCTCAGTAAATCAATTATCTTAGGGTCTAGAGACATGGCCAGCAGTTAAGAACACTGGCTGTTCCTCCAGAGAACCCAGGTTTGATTCCCTATGTCCACACAGGGGTTCACAACCATCTGTAACTCTAGTCCTGGGGAATCTGATGCCCTCGTCTGACCTCTGTGGGGACCAGGCAGGCGTGTTGTACACAGACCTATATGCAGGCAAACACCCATACACATAAAATAAAACAAATTAGCCTCCTTCCAAACATATAAAGTCAGTTATCTTGTCCACGGTCACACAGTAAGTAGCAATCTAAGTCTGTAGACACGGTAGTGCACTGTGGAAACCTAGGCCTGGGAATGTATGGAGAAAAATTAAGAAGGGGCGAGCCAGATTGACCCCTGCAATGTGGGGGTGGGGTAGGGAGAAAGAGTGGGATAGACAGTGTATAAATAGTAGGCCTGTTTTTATCCCTACACATGGCTGAATCAGGCAAGTGCTCTGTCTGGCACAACTGAGGACTCTGAATGCCAACCCAGCCCTGTGTCAAACTCCCTACCCAGCACGTCCCTGGGAGCCGAAATACTTACTGAGGGAGTCATTATTTGAGTCAGGACATTGACTCCAGACGACCCCTTCCCCGTAAAAATACACCAGTTGGAAGAGAAACATCAGTCTGGCACGGGTCGCACATACTCATCTTGGTTAGCTGGTTGGGTCCTTTGAGAGGAGAGCTCATGTTTGAGAGGGTGGTCTTAATACCCAAGGAAGAGTATGAGGCTTGTCCCATAATCTGTGTCTCTCTGACTGCAAACGCCTGGGAATTATGTTGCATAGCTCAGAAATGCTAAAGTAGACTATGTCCCCTGGGGGAAAGCAGTGGAAGCCACTCCTAACTTCCTTTGCTGTTGCTGGATTGGCATCAACAGACTACAACTTCAGGTCTGGTCACTCTGCCCTCCGGAGACTAGCTGGCATTCGTGTATCTAATTTTTAAACGATAAACGAAATATTAGTTACTGCTTGCTGTGTCGGTAGGCTTCTGAGTGCAGATACCTAGTGTGGAACGGGGACTTGTCAAAGATGCAGGGACGCAGGCCTGGAACGGCTCTCAGCTCAGCTTTCACTAGGCTGCCGCGGGACCGGCGTTGGAGGAAAGGTAGGATCCGGTCTTCACCACCTGCTGGTCATTCGCCCTACACCCACACTCCGGCCACGGTTGCTCTGCTCTGGCCTGGTCCCAAAAATGTGAGCGCCTCCGGGTCCTCCCTCCGCGACCGACCGACTGCCTAGTCCGGGGCAGCGCTGCCGGCGCCTCCCCGGGCAGGCTTCCCGGCGCGGGAGGGGGAGGGGAGGGGGCGGTGCCGGGCGGGGCGGGGCTCCCACTCTTTTTCCAGGAGCCTTATTCCCGGCCGCGCGCTGCGAGCGCTCAGTCGGCCCTGGGAGCTTCATGCCACACGCTACTGGTCGGCCTGACGGACGTGCAGGGGCTGGGCGGACGCACTGACCGACTCCGAACAGACAGACGTACCGCGGCCGCAGAGCTCCTCGGCAGGATCGCACCCAGAAACGGGCAGCAGACCTTGCCTGGTGGAATCTCGCTGTCCTCCGCCGCCTGGCCCCGGTGCAGCGGTCCAGCGGCCGCTGCATTCAAAGTGATCACTGCCTCGCCGTCTCCGCCAGGCTCGGGACCATGAAGCTGCTGCCGTCGGTGGTGCTGAAGCTCTTTCTGGCCGCAGGTAAGAGGGCAGCTCATGTCTCCGAGGTCGGGGGTGGGGTGGGGGCGCCGTGCAGGGGACACGTGGGAAGGTCGATGCGGTGCCTCCCCCCACCCTACCCCGGAGCGGGCCACTTGGTGGGGCCAGTGCGCCCTGGAGGGCGGGCGTGGACCCCGATGGCGTGGTGGCGTGGGGTGTAGGCGATGGGTCTGATGTGGCCTCCTCTCTTGCCCAGTGTTGTCCGCGTTGGTGACCGGTGAGAGTCTGGAGCGCCTTCGGAGAGGTCTGGCGGCAGCAACCAGAAACCCAGACTCTCCCACTGGATCCACAAACCAGCTGCTACCCACGGGAGATGGTCGTACTCAGGAAGTCCAGGACTTGGAAGAGACAGATCCTAACCTTTTCAGAGGTGGGTAAGGGGGACGCCTAACCTTAGATGCTGTTCGGGAGCTGAAGAATACACAGGCCTGAGATTTATGCTGTTGCCCCCACCCCATCCCCTGAGGGGATGTTTATGGAAGACTTCAAGGAAAAGCTGATGGCCTGATTATAGTTGGGGGGGTTCTGCAAATAATGCTATCATTCTTATCTTTGGTCTCACCTGGTGTGGATTCTTCTGTATACTTTGGAGCAAAATGAAAGAGGCAGATTGTCCTCCAAGGTAGGCTAGATGATAGGAAAGCATGGCTGAGATGCTTTCTCTAGAGTTGTTTCTTTTTTTGGGGGGAAGGGGTTAAGACAGGGTTTCTCTGTGTAGCCCTGGCTGCCCTGGAACTCCCTCTGTAGACCAGGCTGACCTCAGACTCACAGAGATCTGCCTGCCTCTGCCTCCCGGGTGCTGGGATTAAGGATGTGCTAACCACTGCCCGGTGCTTTCTCTAGAGTATCTGTGCATAGGGCCGGGGGTGGGGAGCTGCTGTCCTATCTCGTGTATGTGTGGTGATTGTATATAAAGAGAGATGACAGATGGGAGCATCGAAAGTGCAGTGTTAGTCTCCTTCTATCTCCAGGTTAGGGAGAGGGGGCGGTGAGGAGCTCTTGGCTTTGGTAGATGAGGTTAGCGCCCCTGCAGCTGGCAATGAATGGTGAGTGCTGGGTCTCTAGGAGGCTGTTTTGAAATGCTGTGCATCTGAAACTTGTAGACTTCCTGCCCACTGGAATCTCTAAGGAGACTCCTAGAGGAAAGAGTTACGTGTGATCCTATAACCTGTATCTGTGGCTGAACGCAGGGACTGGGCAGAGTCCAGAACCTGATGGCCTCCCCGCCTCTAGCCACTTGCAGTGATTCTCAGAGGTGGAGCCAGCACTAAGCCCCATGACCCGGGAATGACTATATTTGGTTGGAAGGAGGCACACCTGTTCAGCCCCACCTGCTGCTCAGCCTGCCTGCTCCCTCCTCACCCAAGGCTTTCCTGAGGTGCTTGCTCTGCTTTGCATAAGTCAAGAGTCTGCTCCAAAACTGAGGCTGGGGTCCCACACTTTTCCTTCTCTACAGTGGACCCTTGGGGTCACCCATGTCCTGAACAGTCTGGATTCTCCTGGCTCTCTCTTAGGCTGGGTAGGGCTGGGCTGGGAAGTGACTCACCCCCCACCCACATGGCTGCTCCTCATACCTCTGCCAACCTGACTCACTGCTCCCTCTCCTCAGCAGGAGCCTAACTTGTCAATCTTCTTATTCTCTCTCTCTGATCGCTTTGGTCCTCTCCTGCTTCCTCTGGCCACCTGCATCACCTTCTGAACTCTGAAGAAGCCAGGAACAGGACCAGCGACCACAGTTCCAATCCCAATCCTGCACTGCCCTGGGGCAGGTCCCTGCCTTTTGGGGATCCTACGGTTTTCATCTTGAGAGTGCCTTGGCATTGTTGAAGTCTCATTTGTCTTGAGGATCCTATGTCCCTAGTCTAACCTATCGTTTTCACCTTTCTGCCAGATACAGGCTGCAGCTACGGACAGTAAGCACCTTTTAAACTATTGCATTCAGGGATGGGAGAGGCTGGCATCAGACTCCTGGGCTAATGGCCAGTCCCAGGTGGATATGAAGCCGTCCTCCCCCCTCCCCTCCCTCCAGTATCTGCAGCCTGCAAAGAAGAGAGATGTCATAGTCTAGTTCCTTCTGGATAGTTCCTTGTATGTATTGTAACCCCCTCCCTATCCCAGGTGTGAATAGGATGCTTGAGGATAAATCTAAACGGCTATTTGAGAAAGTGCATACATTGTTAAAGGGCATGGGGTGGGGCAGATGTTTTGTGCAAACTCAAAAAAGTAAGGTCTTTAAAATCAGGGATAGCCCATTTGCTGTTTCAGAGCTAGGTTCTGCACCAAACATGTTCCCTGATACCAGTGGGAACTCCAGAGGAGGTCCGAAAGCTATAGACACTCTTATTGTAGAAGCTTCCCACCCCAAAACAGCCAAGTTCCTTCTCCCAAAGCAATTTTTGTCTGTGACACTATCCTTCCTGCAAGTGGGTCACTGAGAACGGTATCAGGAAATGAGGCTGACTGAAGGCTAAAATAGAATCATGTCGACGTGGGGGAGTCACAGATGGGGGCAGAAAGTGGGCAGAACTCGAGTGCAAGGCTGGTAGCTTTTCTCAGTGGGCTGTAGTTTCTCTGGCTTTCTTAGAATGAGGCTCTTCTTCCTTGGAACCCCACCAACTTCTATTTCCTCCTAAAGCTTCCTCTTTCTGGTAGTTCTTGAAGAGCTTTCCCAGGCCTCTGACTCCAGGTGGGGGTCAAAGAGTGTGTGCATCCTTATCTCAGCTGTGGGGTGCCCACCTAGAATTCCATGTTTTAGACACTGGGGTGGATGGAACGGGGAGTTTGAGATCAGCCTGGCTTAGAGCTGCAGATATTTTTCCCCAAAGGACAGAGTCTTAACTGGGTACCTTTTTCCTGCAGTTGCTTTCTCCACCAAACCACAAGCTCTAGCCACGCCAAGCAAAGAAAAGAATGGAAAAAAAAAGAAGAAGGGCAAGGGATTAGGAAAGAAGAGAGACCCGTGTCTTAGGAAGTATAAGGACTTCTGCATCCATGGGGAATGTAAATACCTGAAGGATCTCCGGGCTCCATCATGCAAGTAAGTGGCCCATCCCAGAAAGAATCCCATTATCACACTCTCAGCCACATGTTCTTTGTCGCTGTTCCTTGAATTCATAATTTCACCCAGTTTCTTTTCAACCTCTGGGAGGAAGTTCAAAGGAAGGGACATATTTTTAGTCAGCGGAAGTCCCCCGCCGCCACCACCACCAAAGAGGATGCAATTTCCTGTGGCATGGGTTTGTGACGCTCCTTAATCCTTCAGGACATTTCCTCCTGCATACCCATAAATGAGCATGTATGTAGGAGAGCTGACACTTGTGAAGCAGGTCTTTTATTCGGGCCTCGGACCCTTCTCTGGAAAGAAACGCTGATGGGAAACATGGCGGAGTGGGTTCCTGGGAGAGAGCAGCTGACATAAGGTGCCTAAAGTCACATGCTGTGCAGGTGTGTGTACTCAGGTGTGTGCATGTGAGTGAGCAGACGTGGATCGATTCTAAGGCATAGAAGGGCTGTCCAGAGAGGGGCCATCGTGTAGAATGAGTTGAAAGTCCTCCTCTTTACTTTTTCTCCCAGGCAAGGGACAGAAGGACATGGGAGACATAGAGGATATTGACCTTGTATGGAATAGGGGGTTGGAGAACAATTTTCTTTGTGCAAGATTAACAGTGGAACCTAACTCAGCCCGCAGCATCACTATTCCCTGTCAGGAGTGTGGGTTTATTATCCTTTCATAGGCCAAACCCAGTGGGTTTATTATCCTTTCATAGTGGCCACCGTGGCAACCCCTCAGAGATGACGGTGGACCCCTCAGAGATGATGGTGGTGATATGCTCACTGGCAGGTATAATGTAACCGCTATGCCTGAGGCCAACACCCCACATCAGGCTACAAACATCCGCTCTCTTCCCTGCCGAGAGAGACAGACTCTTGGAGCCCTATGACCCTTCCTAGGAGACCCTGGACAGTCCAGGATGCTATTGTGTGTACACTGCCTCCCATCCTGTCAAAAAATCTGTCTGTATGGCATCTCTTCCACCTGTGACTGACGTGGGTCGGGTCCTTTGGCTTTTAAAAGCATCCTTGTCCTGTCTAATCATACACAGCAGCTCTGTCCTGTATTTAGCAGTTGGCAGACAGACCCATTGCTTCCCACTGTCACAGTCAGTGTGTCCCTTCCTGTAACACCCTGGGCAGGAGCTTGGTGTATTAGAGACTTGTTTAAGAATGGAAGGATCTCTGTCTGCTCCTTCCCGGTGTCCTGGGACAGGACAGGAAATGTTTGTCTTCAACGTGTGAAATGGCATCATTAGCTCAGGGAGGAGAAAGTGACTCTGAGGGTAGTCAGGATGGACGAGAGCCAGGAGTCTGTCTAGCCACACTGGCTCAGGGTGTTTCGGCAAATGGATGTGCAGCTCTTTCATTGATCAGCCGAGAAGCAGGACTCCCCTGACCTCCTAAACTCAGAGAACCCAAGAAGTGTGCGTGAGATACTATCACTATCTGGGAATAGTGATAATAATCGTATTGGTATTATTTCTTCGAGATCTTCATTGTTTACATTTAAATCAAGTTCAGCCCAACAGGCATGATGAGTATTTATTGGTGCGGTACACTGTCTGAAGGGATGAAAAGAACTGGTCTTTTGGGATTTCCAAAAGCCCTCTGCTGGGGGGGAACGCAGAACTTTCTCTCGCTACTTAAAAAAAAATGAGGAAACCACAGTGAGTGAGTAGGAAGTTATTTGCATGAGATCAACAGCTAAATAAATTCATGGGAAGAGGACAGGGTCTCACTCCTATCCCAGTATGCTTTTCATGCTCCTAGGCCACACTGGGTGTTGGCTTTCCTCCTCTATCCCTGTCCTTATGGAGTTGAGCAGGATTTTATGGAGGGCACCTGTTGTCCTAGAACACTCGTTAGGATTTTACTAGTCTAAGAGCATAGCAAGTGACCAGAAGACTTTCTGTCACATTCCTAGGCACACTTCATAGTCTGGGTTCTCTGACACAGAGGTCCTGGTTTGGGGCAATGTGACATCTGTGCACCTACATCTGTGTCCCTTTTTGTGGCTTCTCCTCTACTTTAGACCCAGAAACTGCCAGTTGAGGGTGTGTCCTGTGGTGAACTTGAGGCTAGCTGGCTTCCTAAATCAGCCTTTGACAGCCACCACAAACAGGAAAATCCTTGTGTCACCCGCCAAAAGTTTCCCTCAAAGAGCAGTCTTCTTGGGCTTCTGACTGGCTGCTGACCCAGAAATTGGCTGCAAAGTTTCCTGTGGCTAGAGGAAACCTAGGGGTAGTTGGATTGGGAAGGACTGAACTAGAAGAGAGACAGGCCTGGAACCTCACTGTGCACACTGCTCACATGCAGAGGCTCCCTTCTCTTGACCCCATCTGGCTTGAGCATCTCATTCCTTGAGATACAGGCTTTACCCTCGGGTTTGATTGTATAATAACTCACAGAAGTGGGGCCGGGCTTTTGGTGATGCTCCACTGAGGTAGGCTTTTATTACCTCTGATCACCTGGCTAGAAATAACAGAACCGGTCTGGAACTCATTTAGACTGATCTCCTCTATCAAATGATGCTTCCTCCAACCTCTGGAGTAGATATGGAAATATATGAGATCGTGTAGACAGTATCTCTGGACTCTAGAAGGAATTCCTGTTGTCCTGCAGGTTCTGAAGTGGGTCCCAGACAAGGGGAGGGGAAACGTGTCCTAGTGTGATGGATGTGTGTGTTGGCTTGGGGCAAGACACAGGATCTTGCCCTGCATCCAGGGACGTGTGGAATGTACTCAGCCCCCCTCCTTCCCTAGGGAAGCCAGGCTTTGAAGGGAGGGAGAAGTGGGTAATATTAGCACATTTACATTATTATCCTTTTGACTCAGGACAGAGGTGTTAGAGGGATTATGTAACTGAATTGCAGGACTCTGAGGCCAAGTTTTATTTCTATCATCTGAGTAACTACCTGTAGGGTTTCAATGATGATGGTTTGGAAGTGCAGAGCAGATCCAGCTTCTGCTTCCCTCCCCTGGAATAGTATAGTTGCTGAACTCATCCAGACTGCTGGTTAAATCCAGGCTCTGCTACTCACTAACTCTGTAGCTTTGGCATGTTATTTAGCAGAGGTTAAGCCTTGGTTTCGTCAGCTTCAAAATGGGGATGATAACTTCTACTTCACAGGTGGTTTGACCTTAAATGTTCAGTGAATCAAAGGCCCTGAGTTCAGGCCCCAGCACCAAAGATCAAGTAAAATAATCCTTGCGAAGCAGTTAGCGCAGAATGCTTGGTCATGGCAGGCCTTTATTGCTTGCTATTTATAATTCAAGCTGTGTATAATAGACACTAACAACAGTATGGCCAGAGAACAGATCAGACAGCTCAGGACCTACCAGAGAGGTTTTCTTCCGTTACCCTCATTGCTCGGAGTGGACAGAATTGCAGTGGCTTCTGATCTTGGCCTTGCTGCTTCCTAGTTATGAGACTTGACCGATTACTTAATCGCTTTGACCCCTTATCTCTATGCACACATGATTTTCCAGGGATACTCCCAGGAGCTTCCTTTGGGTCCTGGCAGGGCAGGGATATATTTTTCCCTGACTCTGACTCAAGAGTTAGACACGCTGAAGAGGCTAGGTAAGGTAGCTATTCTGTCCTTTGTGGACCTGACCTGTCTTTATGCTGCTCCGTACCCAGGAATAGGTACAGGTAGTCCTAAACAGGGACAGGGATGCAGTGCTACCCAGCCCCACCCCTCTGCCACTGCCAGAGCGGACATCTCTGCTTCTTGCAGCCTCCCAGGCCCCTGCCATCGGGAAGGAGGGACACATCCAGGCTCTGAGGCTCCAGGTGCACAACCTCCTTCAAAGAAGGTGGGGTTCAGAGTAGAGGGCCACTGGGTTCTTGGTGCCTCCTTCAGCAGCTACTGACCTAATATCCCCAAGCTCGCAAGCCTACCCCCTGCCCCAGCTGGTGGACGAGCAGTTGTGGAGTGTGAGTGGACCAAGTTAGAGTCTATGCCCATGCTGCTGCCCTGCTGCATGACCTTGGGAGGCCCTGGCACCTTTCTGTAGCATGGGGCTCCCACCTACATCAAAGGACGGGATGTGAATGTGTTTCTTCAGCAGTCTTCCTAAGAGCTTCAAGGAAATGCTTTGTGTTCCAAGAGGCAGTTGTCACGTGATTTGTTTCTTGAGGGAGAAGAGCCAAGGGATTGTTTCTAACATTCTTTCATGCTCTGACAGGGTGGCTGGGCAGGAAGATGTTATCTCGGTTTGTTTGTTTTGTCCTGTGCTGAAGGAGGCCTGAGAGCCCAGCATTTGGAGGCCAAAGGCTGAAGTTTAGCTCCCAGGTTGGGAGCTAGGAGTTAAGTGAAGGAAATGAGAAAAATGATTCCTGGCACGGGGACAGGGCCTATTAATAGACTGAGCAGCAGTGGGGAGGGACTGCATGCTGGATGCATTGATGGGCAAGGCTGGGTTTATTTCTGGGTCAGAATGTAGAAGGGCCTCTCTAGAGGGAGTGATACTGAATCCCCCTCAGCTCCATCCATCAGCCTGATGCTCAAGTCCTCTTTGGTGGCTGAAGCAAAACACCTTAGCACAGAGGTAATAGATTAGACCCATGTGGAATACATCTAAACTGAGAACTTCAACTCCTCCTCACTTTTTCCCTGCCTGAAGCGGACTCTGGGGTAGGGGTGAAGAGGGGGAGAGAGGGCGCTTACACCATTAACTCTATCTTCTTCTGGTTATTCTAGCTGCCACCCAGGTTACCATGGAGAGAGGTGTCATGGGCTGACCCTACCGGTGGAGAATCCCTTATATACGTATGACCACACTACCGTCTTGGCTGTGGTGGCTGTGGTATTGTCATCTGTCTGTCTACTTGTCATAGTGGGACTTCTCATGTTTAGGTGAGTGTTTGGAGCCTTTGAAGGCTGGTTCTGCAAATTGCTCACTTCTTTCTCCTTCTAGGACTTAGAGCCTTTTCTCATACCCCTGGGCTTGTTACTGTATATTTTCAAAAAACTATTTTGTCTGACACAGCATGGAGCCAGTGTGTAGAGCCCAGAGTACCTATTGCCAGGCCATTCAGGTTCTGTTCCTCTGTTCCTCGTGGGGTTCACTTCCTACCCCTGTGGCCTGGTGACTCACCCATGGAGACACCTCTTAAACATTTCTCTCCTGGCATTGGTGTGTAGTTTGGTAGTAAATGCATGGATAATATTATTGATGATAATATTTCAGGGATTGTATTCTATAAGGATGTTTTGAGGACCAAATAACATTAAAATAAATAAAGTCAGGCAAGACAGGTGTGTACTAGCTATGAGGCCAGCCTGGGCTACATAGAAAATACTAGACCAGTCTGGGTTATGAGGTGCAGTGTCTAAAAACATGCATATATATATACAGACATAAATATCTAAATACTCGGCTGGTAGAAACAGGAATCCCTTTGGGGAAGCTGGATTTGGACCAAAGACTAGTGAGTTGCCATACCCTCTGGGCTTTTCCAAGAACCAGAGTCATGGGAGTTCCTTGCAAGGACTGGCTGTGGGACCTGCACTTTGTCATCTCCTCACAACCCTTTGTCTTCCTCAGGTACCATAGGCGAGGAGGTTATGATGTGGAAAATGAAGAGAAAGTGAAGTTGGGCATGACTAATTCCCACTGAGAAGGACCTGTGCTCAAGGTAATGGTCCATCCTTTGCCCTGGGCAGCAGAGAGAGGCCGAGGCACGGGTGGGTCTTGGGTAGGTTTCAGTGAGTGCTGAATTCCTTTACCAGGGGTTGCAGAGGTCAGGTTACTACTGTGGAGTCAGTTCCCATGCAGAATTGTCTTCAGAGTCTTGGTGAGGCATCTCCAGTTAGATTTCAGGGTTGCAGTACCCTTAACCCCCCTTCCGAATGTTCTTTGCCTTTCCTAAGATTGGACCCAATTTTCAGTGCCTCCCTCTTGTGCTCCAGGAATCTTCAGAGGACGGCTACCTCTGAGACCGTGGTTCATTACAAGTTCTACAGAGGGGAAAGACTTCGCAAGCAGCCATGAAGACTTCTTCATTCCCAGTTGCTACCCTGACTGGGCCTCCCGTAATTGCTCTGCAAAAGTATCAGAGCCTCTAAGTGCCAAACAGACATGCCCACTGGGATCCAGATCAGAACACAGTGGAAGCAGGAGAGCCCTCCAGGCCTCTCTGGTTCCCCTCCACCGAGCCCACCGGTTTGTTTAAACACTTAGCTTCTGGATTAAAGTGCCAGCTAGATCCCATATGCTCCAGGACTTTTGACTGAAAAAAAAAAAAAAAGGGAGGAAAGAAGAATGATTTATGGATTGGAAGAAAGCAACAGAGTTGAGAAGCTGTGTGTTCAAGTAGCCACAAGGGATCTGCTGTTTGGACCCTCCAGCACGCTGGATTTGATGAGCTAACTGTGAAGTACCACAAGCCCAAGAACTCTGAATTTTGGGACTTCTACCCACAGGGGAAAAAATAACAACTATTTTTTTTTTGTTATTTGTTTGTAAAATGCCTCTTAAATTATATATTTATTTTATTCTATGTATGTTAATTTATTTAGTTTTTAACAATCTAACAATAATATTTCAAGTGCCTAGACTGTTACTTTGGCAATATCCTGGCCCACCTCTTCGCAGCTCTACCCTCTGGCTCAGTGCCACACTCCCACGTGCTCTGTAACCCATCTGTAGTAATTTATTGTCTGTCTACATTTCAGAAGACACCCCAGAAGCAGAGTACCCGGGGGGAGTTGCGTGTGGTCGGAGTGTAGGGATTGATTTGGGCAGAGCCACTCTGTGAGTTGGACTGCAGTCTTGCCTAGGTGATTTTTGTCTACTGTCTGTGTTTTGAAAGCCCAAGGTGCTGATGTCAATGTGTAATAGATATTGGTGTTTACCTGTGTCCTCTCCCTGCCAAATCTCAGAAGACGTTGGGCGACCATGCCTGCAGTTGCCCGGCCCCTTTTCTGCCATCAGCCTTTCCCAGTCTCCCTGTGCCAAGACATTTCCCTTACTCCTGCCGTTCTTGTGGTGCTACTCCGTGCTGAGGTTGGTAGAGCAGAGGACAGTTTGGAGAAGGTATTAGTAACGAGAAAGACTGAGGAGGAGCAGAGAACGCTGGAGTTGACTATTCTTGGCAATTGATTACCTATCAATTGCTACAGAGAAAGTTGGTGGTAGGGAAGGTTTGGGTAAGAAAACTATACCGTCTCACCAAAACTGTAATGCTGTTATGGTCCCATGGAAGTTTCTGGTGCCATTTATGAACTGTTACAACCTATATTTCCAAAACCTGGTTCATATTTATACTTTGTGATCCAAATAAAGATAACACTTACTCCATGGTCTGCTTAGTTTTGTTTGTTTGGTTGTTGTTGTTGTTGTTGTTGATGTTTTTTTTGAACAGGGTATCACCATGGAGCCCTGGCTGTCTACCCTGGGACTCTATGTAGACCAGGCTGGCCTTGAACTCATATCTGTCTGTCTTTGCCTCCTGAGTGCTACGGGTAAAGGTTGCACCACCACACCTGGCTTGTTGGTTTTGTTTTTGTGTGTGTGAAGGTCAGAGGTTGACTTTGGGTATCTCTCATGACTGCTCTCCTTTATTATTTATTAATTCCTCCCCCCCCCCTTTTCTTTTCCAGACAAAGCCTCACTACATAGCCCTAGCCGGCTTAGAACTCAGAAATCTACCTGTCTCTGCCTCCTTAGTGATGAGATTAAAGGCATGTAAGCCTTTAATGCCTAGCTTGCTCGCCTTGCTTTTTTTTTTTTTTTTTGGTTTTTCGAGACAGGTTCTCTGTGTAGCTTTGCGCCTTTCCTGGAACTCACTTGGTAGCCCAGGCTGGCCTCGAACTCACAGAGATCCGCCTGGCTCTGCCTCCCAAGTGCTGGGATTAAAGGCGTGCACCACCACCGCCCGGCTCACCTTGCTTTTTGAGACAAGTCTCTCATTGGGCCCAGAGCTCATCAACTCAGTTCGGCTAGGCTAGTAGGCCAAGGAGCTTCAGGAATTCTCCTGTGTCTTCCTCTGCTACCAAGAGTCTGGGATTACAGACACATGCCAGTGTGTTGGCTTGTATATGGGCACTGGGCATACAAACTAAGGCTCTTGTGTTTGCCTATTAAACACTTTACTGACGAAGCCATTTCCCCAGCCCTGGTCTGCCTGCTGTAACTGGGAATTTGTTTAACATAGGAATTTTCTAAGCTCTCTGTCTCCGTGTCAGGAATATTTAGGAACACTGTCCTCACTGTCCACAACTCCAGGATGGGGGTACTATTGCTATCTCATTTTCCTAAAAGAGGAAACTGAGTCTCAGGTTGTATAACTTGCCCGAGAATACACCATGAGCTAGGACTAGTTATTTTGTTTTAATGCTTGCTCCTTCTCACACAAGAAAGACTAGAACTTGGGTATAGGAAGTTTGGGGGGCTGGGCTTCTGTGTGTTCAGTTGTCAGGTCCTAGACTCAGGGTTTAATTGTGTACGGTGCATGCAAGCTGCCATCACTCCTGGAAAGAACAAGATGGTTTTTGCCTTTGCTCTCATGTTCTAAGGTCAATCCATTGACAACTTGTCTGCTATACTTTTTGAGTGTATATGTGCATACAACCGACGTCACTCTCGTCACCCAGTCCCACACGCTGTCCTCTCAGACCTGGACTCTGAGATGGCCTCCTGCCTTCCTAGTTCCACCTTGCCTCTTGGCCAGAATGGTTTTTTTTTATTTGAAACAAAGCTCAGGGCTGGGGGTGGTGGCTCTGTGGTAGAACACATGCTTTGCACACAAGAAGTCCGAGGTTTGAGCCCCCACATCTGACACACACATGAACGGATCTTGTCTACTCTGCAGTCCTTCTCTGGTAGCCCTGTTATACACAGAGCATTCTTCAACATACCATCCTCTCCTTAGAGGGATCTGGGTTCCTCCATCGTTCCCAAGTGCTGCTGACACATTCCTATTTGTTTGCTGTCGATCTGCTCCTACTAGAATGTCAGCCCCATGATGTGTTTATTGTCTGAATAGAGCTGAGATGGAGGCGTGGTGTTTGTTACATTCATACATTATTGTAAGAGAACTAAACTCCAATCCGAGGCCATCAGGTGGGCAGAGTCAGTCTAGTGTTGCCCTGAAAGTGGTTGGCTTCCGAGGGCTGCTGTCAAGGGAGGGTGGCTTGGACAACAGGGTAAAAGTGAAATTAAGGGCCTGTCATGATGCACGGTGCCCTGGGTGAGTTGGGGGCAAGGAGGGCCCTCACGAAGTGCCCTTGGGTGTCTCTCCCTTTTCCCATCTCTCCTCAGAGAGAAGTGACTTGCTGAAGTTTCTCTGGCAGCCCAAATAGAGATGTTTTTCTTTCCTTCCTTGTAATCCTTTTTTTTTTTTTTAAAGCAAAGATGACCAGCAGACTAAACTAGCTTCTGTACTAGTCAGCTCTTGCTAAAGGATACATGACTACAAAATTAGCAGCCCGCTGTTTATTTATTGTTATCAGGGAGGTATATACACATGGAGGTCAGAGGACAGCCTGTGGGAGTCAGTTCTCTCCTTCCACCCTGGGGGGGCCCAGGGACGGAACTCAGGCCATCAGGCTTGGCAGCAAGTACCTTTACCTGAACCAGCTTGCTTTTCTGCTTTTCTTTCTCTTCCTCCTCCTCCTTCTCCTCTTCTGCTTCTTCCTTTTTCTCTTTGACAAGGCCTTGAGGTGTATCCCAGACTTGTTCCGAACCCTCGATCTTCCTGCCCCAGACTTCTGAGTGCTGGGATTACAAGTGGGCGCCGGGGCTGGAGAGATGGCTCAGAGGTTAAGAGCACCGACTGCTCTTCGAGAGGTCCAGAGGTCCTGAGTTCAATTCCCAGCACCCACATGGTGGCTCACAGCCATCTGTAATGAGATCTGGCAACCCTCTTCTGTATACATAATAAATAAATAAATCTTTAAAAAAAAAACAAACAAACAAAAAAAAAAAAAACAAGTGGGCGCCACTGTAGTTGGCCCACACAGAGATAACATATGTAATTTGAATACCTTTTTGAACTCTAGTCACCAACCAGGGTGATGGTTTATATTGACTGTCAACTTGGCAAATTCTAAAATCACCGAAGGAGACACCTAGGTTAGACATTCTAGACTAGGTTAACTGAGGTAGGAAGATGCACCCTAACTGAGTGGCACCATTCTCTAGGCTAGTTCACATGGAACAGTAAAAGGAAAGCAAACCAGGTCCCATCACTTATCTCTCTGCTTCTTAACTGAGGATGCAATGTCTCTAGCTGCTTCAAGTTCTTGCTGCCCTGATTTCACTGCCATGAAATGCTCTGTAAACTCTGAACCAAAATAAATCTTTCCTTAAGTTGCTGTGTCAGAGATTTTAGCACAGCAGTGAGACAAGTAGCTAATACAACCAGTAACTCCCAAAGCTGTATGATTACTCTAGCACCCAAGAATTTTATTCTTAGGCGTTTATGCAACAGAAACAAGTACCAGTGCTTATCAAGACTTAAAACAATGATCTTTTTTAAGCATTACTTAAATCATTGAAAACTAGAAAACAGTAGGATGTGAGATACTGCCACAATCTTATTACTAAAGAGATAGAGGCAGGAGAATTGCTAGTTTGAGATTAGCCCGGGCTGCTGGGTGGTGGCGGCGCACGTCTTTAATCCCAGCACTCAGGAGGCAGAGGCAGATGGATCTCTGTGAGTTCGAGGACAGCCTGGTCTACAGAGCAAGTTCCAGGACAGCCAGGGATACACAGAGAAACCCTGTCTGGGGGAGGAGGGAGAGTAGCCTGGGCTACATAACACTGTCTCAAAACAGAAGAAAACAAACAAAACCAAACAAACAAATAAACAAAACAACCAGGTCTGGGGGATGTCTGTAGCTCAGGGATAAAGTGCTTTCCTGGCATGCACAAGATTTGATCTCCAGCACAAAACCCCAACAAAACCCCACAAAACAACCCTTCTAATATTTGATGATGAAATGAACAAGCAAACTGGCAAATTTTGACAATAATGTACCAAACGATGATGCGGATAAATCTCACAACATTTGTGACAGAAGGAGCCAGACCTAAGTGAGGACATTGTGTGTGGGTCCAGTTTCATACAAAGTAAAAAACTGGGCCAGTGAGATGGCTCAGCCAAGCCTGATGGCCTGAGTCTGATCACCGAGACACACAGAACTGACTCCGCAAGTTGGTTCTCTGACAGCACAGTGGCATGAGCCCTGCTCCCTCATGGCAATAACGTGTGATATTAAAAATAAAACTAACTTATAGTGAGAGAAGTCAGGAAAGAGATACTGGTTGGGATCAACAGTGACTGGAAACAGTCACAGGGAAGATCTAGTGATCCGATAAAGTTGTTTCTACGATCTACCGCCTGGATTCCCAGGTCTATTCGAGTGGAGAAAATTCACTGAATATGACTTGCACACTTTTCTCTGTGTTATACTTCCCTAGAGAGATTAATTTTTAATGCATTATTATTTGTGTGGGGTGAATGCACATGTATGAAGGTCAGGGGACAGCTCTATAGAGTCAGTTCTCTCTGATCTTTACATGAGTTCAAGGGATCAAACTCAGGTCCCCAAGCTTGGTCCAAGCACTTGGGAAATAAAGTCATGAGGATCAGAAGTTCATGGTAGTACTTAGCTCCAAAGAAGGTTGATGTTATCCTGGGTTACACGAATACCTATTACAAATGAATAAAAATAAAACATAAACAAGAAGCTTGGATCAAGGTCACTTGATCTTGCTTTCCATCCAGTCCTGTGAAGGACCAACGCCTGACTCTGGTAATCACAGAGAGTAACAAAGACGGCAGAAATAACTGGAGAGCTGGTTCCTTTGGCTCTCCATGGGGCTCTTTTTCCTGGCTCCAAGTTTCCCGTCTCAAGCCCTTCCAACGGCCAGGGCTGGGCTTTCTGAGCACACTTTGTGCCTCAGCTGATGTTTCCTGCAGGCTCAGGGCTTCAGGCCTCTCTGCTGTCCTCTCCTCATGCCCTGTTGCTGATGGTAGTTCTACTCAGCGGTCTTCAGGCCTTCTCTGTGGTTGACATCACGGTCCTGGGAGGTGCTGAACTTGCAGTCACTTCTCAGCACCAGCCATCAGGGGAAACTGGCACCCTAAGCCTTAAAGAATAGCTCCTTTTTCTCATCAGATTTCTTAAAGTGCCTTTGAGAATTTTTTGTTTGCTTGTTTGGGACAGGCTTTCTTTATATAGACCAGGCTGGCCTTGAACCCAGAGATCTGCCTGCCTCTGCCTCCCAAGTGCTGGGATTCAATGCATGCACCACCGTCATTGATAGGTTAATAATATCTAGGTCCACTGGGT